TCATTGTCACTTTTTTCCTCTACAAGATGGCGAAGTCAAGTTTTCAATCCGAGGTTTCTTCTTCTCATATGGACGCACTATTGGAATTATGTACATTATACTACTTAAACTATATCACTTGAGGTTTATTGTGACATAAATAAATGTTTTATATTGATAACTGAATGCAGAATCAAAAATTGTGCTCGATTCCGCACATGTTCAATATGGAAATCAACGCTGGTGATGGAGATAGAAAGCAGAAACCACCAATTTGAGAGTGATTGAGAATTTGACGGCGCCCTCTTGTAAAGAAGAAAGAGTGGCAATGCAAATTTACAATTTATTTTAAAATCCCATGTCAAATAAAACCATGAAATAAACAACGATTTTGTAGTAAATCCGGAATACAAAACAAATGACAAATCTGATAAATTCAAGGGCTACCTAAGAAACTGAAATAACTAATGTCCAAGTATGACATATTATATATTTTGGGAACCAAAATTAAATCTATATTCAACGGTGTAAAAATCAAATATGGCGTCCATTAGAAAAACTAAAGTTGATGCTGGAGGACAAGAGACAAAACGTCATATTGAAATTCTAATTATTGCGTCTTGCAGATAAGAAAAAGTAGCAATGTTAATGTGTATTTTATTTTAAAATCCCACTAAAAAATAAAGTTAGGGAAAATTAAAACGATTTTGGGAAAATTCGGTTTTTTCTGTCTCTCTCCGGAAGTACTTTGAAATTCGAAATTTTCTAAGCGGCGTTTTTTTGATTACCTAAATACGCAACTGTGCTCCCAATTAAGTGCCTTCGTATCTGTTACCGTTTTCGAGAACCCAATCATGAATGTCGAATTTGAAACACCCGGTATACTCTGAAAAGGCAGTGTCTCATAGATGGCCTGTAGCAGCATATATGCTTGTATACTAAGTGACATATAAATCCGAACACCCAGTTTAAATGGTTTTATTTTAATAAAATTTTGTATAAGTACTTAATGAAGCATAATAAGTAAATGATAAAAATTTCAAAATGATTGCACTGCTTTAAAGCCCTTAGACCTTTAATAATGTGTGGATGCACCCTGATGTGCTACGCATTCTCCAACGCGCCTAGGCATGCTTCTGATCAGGTGGTCAATGTCCTCCTGTGGTATCTCATTCCAGGCAACCACCAACTCCTCTCGAAGTGCTTCTAGAGTCTGAGGAGGACGTTGCAAATTGAGCATTATCTTGTTGGAAAGTTGGATCTGCCAGGGCGTCAAGATAGGGTAAACGATGGGGTTCTAGAACTTCGTGGATATAACGCTGCGCGTTCATGTTACCTCTGATGAAGATTAAGTTGACGAAATCGTACAGGTCTCCGTTCTCTAGGCATCGTAACCGATCGTAAAGGATGTCAAGAACCAAAATCCGCCAACGTTGATTCTTTACTGCGGCAGAGATATTCATTTTTAGAGCGTTAGTGAATTAAAAAAAGCAGTATAAAAACCGGAATGTCCAACTGATACGGCTGAAAATTTTTTCACTTGTTATTTATAGTAAGATAAATACATTCACCAACTTTTATTAAAATAAAACCATTTAAACTGGGTGTTCGGATTTATATGTCACTTAGTATATATGCTCAAATGCATCGTTGTCATGTATGCGACACCAATATTTTAACGAAGTATATGCAGGGCAATTTGAAAGTTGAGACTTTCCTTCCTTCCACTCAAAACGAAAAAAACAAATTTAAGGAACTACTATTCATTTGCACGATATAAACGAACATATGCAGCTCTGATGGAAAGAAACATCGAGGACGACGGCGACGAGCTGAGTACTCTTGCGGAGTATCAATGGATCTTGAAAGTGCTCATATCAAATCGATAACTACCTTATTGCCACAGGAATGTTTCAATGCAGTTTTTTTATCTCGGATAATTTTTTGGACTCGAGAATAGAGTATTAGGTTGACTATCTCTTACATAAGTAGTGTACCGATCCAGGTAACATACTGTATAAGCCGTAAGAATAAGTCTTCCACTGGAATTAAACCGGCGCTCGTCGGTATTATGGTCCCGGTAACAAGTGTGACTGAATACGAATATATTGATATAATAAAGTGACATTAATAGCCTTTCATTGAATATAATCCAATGCAATTATATCTATTTATAGCTCAAATAGCAGACAGATGATACCCTTTGAGTACAATTCGATTTAGAGACATTTAAGTTAATCGCAATGATTAAAATGGAAGCGTCGAGAGGTCGTCAAGTACATTAACTTAACAACTTTCTGAACCTAAGGCGTGCCAACAATGTGTGAATTTCTTTAACAAATCAAGAAACAACTTTAAAATTATTTCATAGAAAGGTTTAGAAACTCAAAGTTGGTAAGTTATCTTAAAGCGTCTTGGACAGATCCAGAGGATAACTCCAAACAAGTACTTTAGGGATAATTGCGTTTGAAATCCTTTTCTTATATAGTATGTTTGCAACTTAACGTGATTTATAGTCGTAACTTTCTTATTATTACGGGTAGGTGGACGCTGCAAGTACCAAATGAAATTTCACAATATTATCATAAATTTAACATACATATAAAAGGGCGGCTTTTTGCAGAAAGGAACCAACCCACCAAATGTGAAAAATCTAGATTTTAGGAAAATAAACTATTACGAGCAATACCATTTACTATAAAAAAGATCCATACATATATTTAAAGTCTTTAGTATGCCATTAATTAAAATCGTTTTTGGTCTGAAATGAATTTTTTATCAATGTCAAAACTTTGAAGCCTAATTGCTCAATAATTGTTTTTCTGGGTTGGTTCCTTTCTGCAAAAAGCCGTCCAAAACTCAGTTTAGGTAAAAATGGATAAGGTCTGGCTGTGAGGTGCAGAATTTGGATGTATTTTTCCAGCAAATAATTTGGAGTTTTTTAAAGATGCCTCTACACATACAAGGTGTAAATTTTATAAAATCGACTAAACAATGAAGGTTGCCTCTTTTTGTATTTATATGACTAATACATGTACAATTGATAACAATAATATATAACTATACTTTGAATGGCAATGAGTATAACAACATTCGTCAAAGAGTAGATTAAACAGAATTGATAGTAACAAGCTTGTTATTTAAACTACAATAGATTGGTCATAAAAGAAAAGTATGGGCAATTTTAATGATGTTATGTGGTAAATAAGAATGTTAAACAAGCTTTATTTTATAGGCCGCTTTATATTTTAAACAAGATAGTCGCCAATTTGTATTATGCTACTGATCAAAGTTATGTGAATAGCCCATAGCATATCGGAAATCGATTATCATAATAATCGCAAACCGAGTTTTCCGAATTTTGGATAGTTTATGATGCCTATAGACGATTTTTGGCGTTTAGGTCATCAATGTTACACGCAATGTTATGTTGAAGATCAACAAATCGCACGCCGATATTGAGTGGAATGTCACACTGACATTGACAAGTATAGATGCGGAAGATCCGCACGGGTATCACGTATCTTGGAAATTGACATTATTGCCGATTTTTTTTTGACATTATGCTGTTTTTTTTGACATTATGTAGGTTATTCTAAAAGATGTTAAGTTAGCACGTAGTTGTACGTGTTGCCTAAACGTCATGAGGCTTGTTATCTATCTTTGGCTTTGATGTGATGTAAAATCTGCTTCTGAGATGGCATGACTGGAGGTCTAAGTTGTAAGTTGTATGTGTTGATCATAATTACATTGGGTTCTGGTCTCAAATACACTTAATTGAGATTCAAAGCTAGAAATTAGTTGCGCATCCACTTCTTATCCATTCTGGAAATTACATATACAAATTTGCTGAATTTAAAAAATGAGAGAGATAAGAAATAATTATATTCAGTGTACACTGTACAAGCCATATACGAGTACATGCTAACAGTAAGTACACATATCAAGAAAAGACACTCGTGGAATGTATTTACAATCCTCTTGGCCGGTCCCAATGGTCGTGGGACTCTTCTGCACGTTGCGGGTTCGAATCTTGGACTATAACTAGTACAAATAAATGGTTTGGCGATTCGCTCAAGGATGGCTCTGCAAGTACCGAGGCGGTGTTGCCAAACTGCCATAAAATGTTTAGAAAACGCTACATTTATATTGAGCTGAATGGAGTTCAGTTCTTTTCACGGTTTTGGGTGGTTACGTCAAAAAGTCATGCAGAAACTTATTTCGCTTATCGTCTTAAAGCGTCTAGATAACTGGCAACCATGTTAAATAGACCGAAGATTGGTCAAATCAGCAATTTGATGTTAGAAAACTTTTTAATTTCGAACTGAAGTTCCTCTTTTGTTATTAAACTAATTGGTGATTTATAACTTTATTGAATGGATAATATATTTCACCATAGGCTCAGGCAGCAGCGGTGGCCGCAGTAGTAGACTCTTCGGTCACCTGATCAGTCGCCGTGCGCTGTGCGGGTTCGAGTCCCGTCCCAGGTGAAATTTTTCTCTTGGCTATGGATGTTGTGATTGTCCGTAGGTGGTAGACGGTCTCTGACTGTCGAACGCGGAGGTACCACCCGGCGGATCTCGTAGGCGGAGCCAGAATGTGTGCATGTTGCATGCACACGTGTTCCCTCGCCAGAGTCCGTGTGGCGTCCCCCCTTTCCCATGTATCCCCCTATATAGCCCCACGGTACCCAATGGGTGCTTAGGCCTTAGTGGTAGTTGGAGTATAAAAAAAAATAGGCTGTAAACGGATGATAAATATCCTCACTATGAATAAATATCCGTACAAATCTGAAGTTGAACAAACAATGCTTTTACTTCAAGTGATGGCCAAAGAATTCATCCAAAAAGGATTGTCTGTCTGACAACACCGCATTGATCACCGACTAAATAAGAACGATTGTTTAGACGCTATCAGCTGTTTTTGGATATCTCTTATCTCTCTCTAAGTAATCCGTTTTTTACACACATACATAGACCCATATTTTAGATTTAGAGCACCTCATATAAAAATTGACTCACCTCTTGATCGAAATGTTGATGTGGCATGATCTGCAATTCTGGCCGTTTGTAGTTCTTTCTAGAGTAAAAGAGATCCTCCACCTTGGTGAATCCGCCATATTGCTCAGCAAGTAGTAGCAAAGGCTGAAGGCATAACAATGGAGTGGTCGTTCCGCAAGTCTTCAGTATGAAACGTCGCTTGGATATGAACATCGAGCTTTCACTGAAAATAAAATATACCTAAATGAAATCGAGCTTTCACTGAAAATAAAATATACCTAAATGAAAACTATCAGTAAGATGATATAATCGTAAAATTCATAATCATTGTTTTGCAGATCTAGTCACATTTAAAATATCCAGAAAATGGGCATAAGCTTCATGTCATTGTTCATTTGATTCAAGCGCTATCGTTCTCTAAATGTGTCCTATAATACAAACAGTGGAGTAGGGACTAGGGAATATTTCCGGGTAAATCTCGGACTCGAAAGTCGCGAGTTGAATCGGAGTGAAGAACCAGGATACTAAAACCTTGTTTCACTCCCCAAACTCTAATTCTGGTTCGGGTTCTATCACCTATTTTGCGAGGGCCACTACTTACTAGTTTTTTGAAGACTGGTTGATGGATAAAGATATTGTTTCTTATAATAATGCATTAATGTGAAATGCAATCCAGTCTTCATAAAAAAAATAAGAAGGTTAAAAATTTTATATGAAATCTGATTTTTTTCTCCACAACAGTCTATTTTAACTTCAATTTAACACTAAACCTAAATTTGTCTAAAAAATCATTTGGCAGCTACTCCCGAAACTTCACCAAGGCAATCTACTTGATTCCATTGTTATTTCATCCAGGGTACGAAGTAAATAGGACAAAAAGTGAATAAATTAGATCAGAAATCAGGTCCCTATTTCGGTCAGTATCAAAGTCATGTCAAGAAAGAGGTTGCATTCCGGTGCATATGTTTTATAGAGGCAGATAATCTTGGCATTTGCTCGGAAAAATAATCTTGTTCGGTTTTTCGTATAATCTTATTTGAAAAAGGCGCCTTTTAACGAATTTGCATATTGCCAGGCCCAAAAATTGTTTAAATCATTTTTAAGCAAGTTCTAAAAATTGTTTTTTTTTTTCGCTCCGATCAAGTGTTTTCACACAATCTGAACAAAAGCTTTTTTTCTCTAAAGTTGACAGTTTCCGAGATATAAGCGATTCAATATTTGAGAAATGCGGCATTTCCGTCTCTGAAAAACAATATGTAAAAACAAACATTTCAATGTTGCGAATATCTCTAGATACTCTTCAAACATCCATTAGCAAAATCCCAAAGCATTATTTTTTAATTGTTACCCAAACGCGCGCTCAAAGTATATTCTGCGTGAGAGGTTTACAGTGGCAATACCGCTGAAATACTTTGGGATTTTTTAAATGGATGTTTGAAGAATATTTAGGAATTTCGCCAATATTAAAATTTTCGTTTTTCCATATTGTTTTTCGGGGTTGAAAATGGCATATTTGGCACTTCTTCAAATAAGCTCTAAAACCAGCAACTTTAGAGAAAAGTTCTAAAGTACGTATTCTATTTCTTCAGAATGTCCTAAAAAACTTAAAAACACTTTGGCCGGAGCGAAAACAAAACAATTTTTAGAATTTGTTCAGAAAAATTGTTTAAAGAATTTTTGACGCAAATTTGGGCTTGACAACATGCACACTCGTTAAAAGGGATCATCTGAATGAAGCTAAGCAAAAAGTGAGAATCAGAATATTTTTCCAAACAGAAAGGAAGATGCCTGGACTAAGAAAATCGCTTAACTTTTTGGCGTGTGTGGATTCACGAGTCAACAATCTAAGATCCTAGTGCCTAATTTGACAACTTTAAAACTGAAATTCAGTCTTGTGATTGTGTCTCAAGTGTTTTTGAAGATCTGGTATCTGGCATCACATGAGGGTAACGCGAAATTTGTAATATTTCTGCATTGCTTATGTTTTTTTCGCTGAGTTAATCCACATTTCGCAGCCTCCATAGACGTATCGTCATGCTTTCTTTTAATCTCATTTGTGCGTGTTGTAATGAATCATATAAACCAAACATGATGATAAAGTGTGCAGTATGCACAAGGCATACAAACATTCATGTGTGAATTTAACAGTTGATGAGATTAACATATTGAATGATGAAAGCAAAGGCTACGCTTGGTCGTTCACTTGTTGCAGAAACATCAACAATCAAATTAATGAGGTAAAAGGCGTCCTAGAAAGTTAACTTTACAAAATGAACGTGAAGTTACTAGCGTCATAAGAAATGTTAGGGATTTAAAGAGCAAGCACCTTCAAACATGTATCACTTTCCATCGACCGCACTCGTAAACAGATTGAACACTATAAGGTGCAGCAGGATGAACTTAAGATAAAGAACGCACAAGGTCCTAAAAAGTATAAGATCAGGTATGTTAACGGAGTTCCTAAGCTACTCAGGGATTTAAACTGACTAGTTCCAACAGTTCTAGTGAATTAGGAAATTTTCTATTGTCTGTGTTATTTGCATCTGATAATATAGCTAGTATCTTTGACAAATCTGAAAGAATTATTCCAATAACTTTAAATTTAAGGAAGTTATGGCATTTTCTGTGTTGGCTGCTGTAGCCGATCGGCCTCGCGCGTCTAGGTTCGGTAGTGACGTCATATGACGGAACGTGGCACGTCGTAGTGAAGCGGTCGGACGACACGACGGCATATCGCATACATCCTTAGCGCTAAAGCTGACAAGACTTAATTTATTGTTTGAATCTTGGCGTAGACTGTTGCATGGTAGTATATAATAATTAAAATGGAAAAAGGCTTTTTACGTGCCGATTCCACAAAACTTTTGAAGGTGGACATAATAGTGGTAACGAATTTCTTCAGAAACAATCCACTTTATGTCAGTACGGAAATACGTGAGTAAGTAAATAGTATGATACCATACCATACTGTGGACTTATAAAAGTGTTTTGAGTCATCAACTTTACGTAGGACGCGTGGTGTCAGTGGCGGGTTGTTATGGATGATCTTATTTGGCTTTATTAATTTTATAAATAGAAGAAAATGAAAACATGCTTTGCATGCATCAAATAATTTAGGATGACCCAAACTCCAGCGAATTCGTTTGGTTAATTAATAATAAATTCAATATCGCGCTGTGACCAGAAAATCAACTGTTTGAACTGAAATTTAATTCAACGCCAATAGGACTTGATGGCGGTCCGGTGTTTGTTTGTTTCAGATTTATTTAGCATTAAACAAAATATATTATGACTTCAAGACTACATATTTTTATACAAAATTTCACTACTATGATATCTGGTTTTCCATGAGATATTTTTTCAATTTCTCTTTGAACATTTTCAAACTGACACACGTCTTGATATCATTACTTCACAGCATTTTAATAATTCTTTCGTAATTCTTCACGATATCCATTTGACTGTTGTCATTATAGTTCTGGAAGAGACACCTATGGAGACGAGGCGATTGGTTATGTGCAGTAAAAAAGAGAACGGGATATCTGAATTGTAAAAGCCAGGATTACGCCCGAACATAGAGTTAAGAGCATACAGTATCATTGCAGTTTTGAATGCGACGAAAAGGAGGAAACAGTAATCAAGCTAGAATGCAGTGGTTATGCTGCACAAGAGGGTGGCTGTAAGCATGGTGTAGCGCTATTAATGTGGCTGCACAGAAGAAGCGAAGAACCACCATGCACGTCCGTGAAGTGCTACTGGACAAATGCCAGATTATCTACTATTGGCAGTAATCTAAAATTCATAGAAGCCTCTCAGATGATTACACATTAAGCCCACACTTGACCGACGCCTATGCGTTTGATCAGTGTTTCCTCTACAGCCACAAGATGATCACTATACAAATACTCAGATTATCTCGAAATGAAAGCAATAATCAAATCTATTTCTGTTCTCCTTTAAACCATTTAGATTCTTAACCTTATCATGCAATTCATACAGACTAAGACTAATAATAATTAGCTAAATAGCGGCTTACATCAAAATGGGAGTCACAGCAAAACAAGGTTGATGTTTCCGACAGCGGCAATTTATCGTCCCTATTTATTACCTTGCACCACTCGTTTCTAATACATCCCTGTTTTGGCACACAGAAAAAATGTTTATCTTTAGCTGATATTATAGTATTTGTACACCTAGGCACAATAAAATATTTGTAGGTTAAAGGTTTCACCCACTTTTTACTCATTGTTAATAATAGGGGGGAGCGTGTGTGGTGCGGCGCGGCGGGCGCATCTCCTTGCAGTGGTGCTGGGCTGATAAGCTTCCGTCATGTGACGTCATCGCTCACTCGCCCGGCCCACCACACGATTCTCCAAATAATAAACTTCTGACTAGCGTAACTTTGTTATTTTTCAAGATATTAAAAAATAAATTTCAGCCCTGTACTTCATTTTACTTAGACTATCATTTTGAGTGTCTTTTGAAAAATAGGAAACTTCCTCATTGAAAAGATCGCTTACTGTATATTATCAGAACGTGCGTGATTTAAACAGCAAGGTGGATGTTGTCTACTCGTCAGCAAGTGAGTGTGAATTTGACATTATACCGTTAAGTGAAACGTGGCTTAGTGATGGCATTCCCAATTATGAATTTTTTCCAAATGTTTAGTGTCTATAGAAAAGACCGTAAGTTTAGCAGAATAGGTAAACAATCTGGAGGTGGTGTTTTTTTAGCTGTCAAGGACTTTATAAATTCTATAAAGTTTTACATGTGACTGCTTTTGATTTGCAATTTCCAACCATTGACATGTTAATTGTTAAGTGTAGTTTAGAATCTAAAAAGTTTTATGTGGTAACTCTATACATCCCTGACAAAATAGGTGTTGAGGAATTTGAATTGTTTTTTGAGCGCTTAGAACAACTTAATTACCTGAACTTTAACAGCTCAATACTTTTAGGTGACTTTGACATACCACGTTTTATAGAAAACGATCCGGTTGACGGTAAGACCTATATCATTCAAAACTACCTAGCACCATTCAACCTGCGTCAATATAACAATGTTCAAAATCGATTGAATCGTCTACTAGATCTAGTCATTTCGCATTTTTCTTGCTCAGTCTTTCATGATGATACGCCTATGGTTTTCGAGGATGACCATCACCCGGCACTGATAATAAATATACCTACCTGATTTATTCACTCGGGATGTTAGATTTGGATT